GGAATGAACGGGGGAGGGGGGGGCAGGGGGGCAGGGACTGGCACGACCTGTGTCCCCCGCAGATGAAGAAGTTGGCACGGCGGCACCAGCAGCAGCAGGAACAGCAGAACTCCCAGCGGCTGGGCCAAGGTGAGCCGGGGCCAGGGCGCTGGGGCCCAGGCTCGGCCTCTGGTAATGAGATCCCCCCAGCCCCCCAGCCGACACCTTCCGGGGGCGGGGGGCGGGGGGGTGGTGATCAGGGCTCAGGGAACTGCTACCTTGGAACCTGGTGAGATCAAGAGAGGCGGTGGGGACCACGGGCAGGATGCAGGAGGAGGGATGGCAGGGTGGGCGGCCCACAGGGGTGGCAGAATTTTCAAAGTCAAAACTGCAGCCATCTGAGACACCTGGCTGGCTCAGTTGGTAGAGCACGTGACTCTCAATCTCAGGGTCGCGAGTTCAAGCCCCACGTTGGGCATAGAGCTTACTTAAAAAAAACAAACAAAAAAACAACCAGAAATCTGCAACCATCTCTCACCTTCACGCTGTGCCAGGCACCTTTCTCACTGCTGGCCACGCTCTGCCTCACTTCACTCCCACAGACCCGCGAGGGGAAAGGCATTGTCACGGCGATGCTCGCCGATGCTCAGCGAGACCAAGGGACTTGCTGGGTTCTCTCAGTTCGTAAGGGGCAAAGCCGGCCCCTTTAACATGACCATACACCGCACTGCCCATGCTACAATTTAGCAGAAGTCTCCGGAGAAATCTCCAGAGAGCTTCCGCAAGCCATTGAGGAGTTGGGGGTGGGCTCCTGCTGAGTGACGAGGAGCCAGTTTGAGGGCAGTGGCCAGGCCCCTGAACGCTGGGCTTTGCCAAAATGCCATGTCCATTTCTTGGGCCGGGGCTGGCCTCCCAAGCCCCATGGGGACACAGAGCCTTGAAGGGAGGGCACGGAGATCTTCCTGGGACTGCCCTAGTAGAGTCGCGGCCCTAGAGCTGCCTGTTCCCAGGTGAGACTGGGATTCCAGGGCAGATGCTAGGGCACTAGTGGGCAGCCCCTCCTACTCAGGACTCGGGGCCAGGCCAGTGTCCCCGGCTGCATCTGAGCCTTGGAGCCCTATTATTCCTCTGCCTCCTCTGCCGCCTTTCCCAAGACAGCCTGGCCTCCTGGGGCTATAGCCACTGTCTCTGGTCTCCCAGCCACCTCCTGAGCTATGTCACACCTTTCAGTGTTCCCAGCTGCCCCTGAGATGTAGCCTCCCCGGGAATGTTCCACAGTCCGCCTTGAGCTCATCACAGCCCATACTGTACTCCACACAGCACCCTGCTACCCCATCCGCACAACACCCCCTCCTCCTCCCCACCCCATCTCAGCAAATGGCACCACTCCGTACCCGGTGGCCACGCCAGTAACCGGGAGTCACCTCTGACCCTTCCTGTCCTCCATTTGCTGTATCTGCTCGGTTGCCAAGTAGGGCAGTGGTTTTCTTGTCCCGTGTCCCTCATGCTCCTCCCAGGGGTTGTCATTCCTACATTCGCCTTACAGGGACCCCAGACCCTCCCTCCGCTTCCTCAGTGGTCTCTGCCTCCGGCCTCCAGACTGCCCCTCCCTGGCCGAGACCCTCCCCTGACTTCCTAGAGCCTCAGGGAGAACCCACACTCAGCTTGGGCCCCTGAAGGAACCATCTTCCTCCCCACCCCTGGCCTTCTCTCGTTCTCAACAGTGGAGCCCTGTGCACCAGGCTCCCTGCTCTCACCCAGCAGTTTCTCCCCTCCCTGCCTTTGTTGCCCTTCAACCTGGCATGCCTGCCCCCTAGCATGGTTGGACCCCTGCTGCTTCTTTAAGTCATATAGAGGTAGGCTTCCTCCAGGAAGCCTTCCCTGAAGCTCTCTAGCCCGGGCTTGGGTCCCCTCTTAATGCCCCCAGATGCGGGGAGCTCATTGTACCCACATGTTGAATGATTACTGGCTGCTTAATGTCTGTCTCTGCCAGGTGGTGAGCTCCTGGAGGGCAAGGCCACTGGAGGAAGGGAGGAGGTGGGATGGGGAGGTTTGTGGCTTTCGATAAACTGATTTTTGAAGAGGAACTACAGTGTGTGTCTGGGGAAGGGGCCAGGGGTCAGATACCTGGGCTCACGGGCCCTGGAAGGCCATAAGCAGCCTGGGGAAGTCTGGAGGAGGTCAGAGGGATGGTGTGGGCACCCTGGACTGGGGGATCGTGTGGGAGGGAGGTCCGTGGGAACTCCCAAGGTACATCTGTGAGGGCTCCCGGGGTGGGGGGACCTCCAGGATCAGGTGGACAGGGCTGGTTGGTGAAGGTGTGCTCTGTCCCCAGAGGTCCTGTCGAGTCGCATGGAGGGCATGATGGCCTCCTACACGCCGCTGGCCCCCCCACAACAGCAGATCGTGGCCATGGAGCAGAGCCCCTACGGCAGCAGCGACCCCTTCCAGCAGGGCCTCACGCCGCCCCAAATGCCAGGTGACCACATGAACCCCTATGGTAAGCCGCCCCCAGCCCCCGCCCGCCCCAGCACCGCTCCCGCCCGCTGCCTGACCTGGCAGGCCTGGGGCCATGACAGCCACCTCCCACCCCCGGGCCCGGGCAGGCCCTGCCAACACAGCCCACCTGCCTCCTCCTGACGCCAGGGGCGCCCTCGCGACCCCACCCATGGCCCTCAGCACCTCTGGTCCCCCGCTGCCGCCACAGGCCATCCTGTCCCTCCTCACCTCTGGCCACACAGCCTGCAGGGCCAACAGGGCCCCCAGGAGCCCCAGCCTGCACTGGCTCCTGACGCCCCCTCTACCCTCAGGGAACGACTCCATCTTCCATGACATCGACAGCGATACCTCCTTAACCAGCCTCAGCGACTGCTTCTTGGGCTCCTCGGACGTGGGCTCCCTGCAGGCCCGCGTGGGGAACCCCATCGACCGGCTCTACTCCATGCAGAGTTCCTACTTCGCCTCCTGAGAGCCAGCTGGCTGCATGGACGCTTGGGCCAGGGTCCTGGGGTGGGCCTGCGGCCGCCGCAGCCAGCCCCACCGCCCGCATAGACTCTACACACAGCCATACGGTGCCCTTTCCTGGGCCAGCCGGGCAGGCAGATGGGCGCAGCCTGGGCAGGGCTGTATCCTGCCCACAGAGACCGTGTCACCCCAGGGACCCAGAGTCTCGGAAAGCCACTCGCCTCCCAGCCCCACCTCGGCCTCCATCACCTCCTTCTCCCTACCCATCTCTTTTTTGGGAAGCTTAAATTCTCTCTATTTTTTTAAATGTCCTCTCTGTGTCCAGCCAACCTCCACAGGCCGGGCCTAGGCCAAGGCAAGGCCCCCGCGCGTGCCCCAGGGCAGGGATGCTGCGCGCGGCACCCGTCACCTGCGAGAAGCGTAGGACCCTGCGCCCTGGGCTGGTGCCCACCTCCCCCACCTCCAAGGGCAGGCCTGCCAGCCTGGGTTCACCTGTCCCAGCCCGAGCCTGGAACAGAAGTGGGGAAGAGCTTGGCAGGTGTGCCAAGCCCACTGAGGCACAGCCCTGAGGGGAAGTCCCTGGGGAGGGTAGACTGAGCCTCTCCTGCAAACACGCACACTCGAAGGCACACCCGTGTGATAGGCACACAGATATGTAGACAAGCTACAAGAGACACAGAGGCGCTCTGTGGGCCAGCCTGGCCGTGTCAGGAAGGGGAAAGAGGCCAGACGGGGGCGGGGACCCCCCTTCTGACAGCAATAGGAGAGAAGGAAGGAGGAGAGGGAGGGAGGGGAGTTTGGGGCTTGAAACATGCAGACCCAGATGTATCCCAGCCTCAGCCTAAATAGGTGCTGCCTGAGCTGGCGGGGCGGCCCCAGACGCGACCAGCTCCACGGGCAGAGACAGAGCCCCCAGAACCAGGGAGGACATATGGCAGAACCTCCAGGCAGGAAAGCAACTTCAAAAGTCACCCACTCGGCTCATCATCTGAGGTGTGGCTCCCTCTGCCTCTCCTCGCATCCCTCCAGTGGCAAGGAGGCCGCTACTTCATCGGGCCCCGAGTCAGCTGCCGTTTTCTGCTGATTTCGCCTCTGCCTTTTTCAGCCCTGAGTCTTCACTTCTCAAAGCCCTTTTCCCTCTAAAGGTGGAGTAGATATAACCCAGTCTTTCCACTGACATCAGCCAGCCACCTCCCCTGCTTTAGGCACCCTGCCTCTGTTAATGTGGCCCAAAATCCAGTGCACAGTTTAGGCCACATAACCTAGAAACTCACCCTTCCCTTCTGTAACTGAATCTCCTGGCCGTCACACATGTGGCAGCTAAGCCACATCTCTCTTCTGTGTGTAAGTGGGGGAGGGGGCATTTCTTATTTAGATCCAGTGAAGGACCTTGACTTTTTGACTTCTTACATTTCTTCTTATTTGATTCAATCCAGCCTGTGGAGTTTCTCTGCACCCCCAACTCTGTGACCACTCGTTTGCTGTCCCTCCTGAGCACATCTGCCCGTGTCAGGGGTCAGCCCTGTGCTTCTTACCGAAGGCATGTGAACCTTCAGGGCCCCTCCCCGTCTGGCATTGGCCGTGAACCGGTCAGTCGTCCTTGGATGATGCTTTCCAGTGCACTTCCAGCCCTGTTTTGTCAAACGCCCTGCCGGAAGCCAGATCTGCACCCCCCCCACACACCCCACCCCACCCTGGATCCACTCAGCTCTAACCCTGTCGAAAGAGGACGTGAGGGCCCTGTTCTCAGTGACCCCCTCGCTGGCCCCTGGTGGCCACTGTGTCCTCGGCTAGGTGCTCACAGCCCTGCCTTTAATTCTAACATCAAGCCCTAGGCCGCCACCCTGAGATCTGCCCAGTCCAGGCTTTGAGCTAATAGAACGATGGGTGTCTCTCTCTGCCTTTGGGCCCCCACCTGACTCCCTCTGGGATCCTCCAAGTTCGCCAACATGCCCTGTGATTTTGCTCCTCTGTCCAGCGGGGAGGCCTCAGCTTCTCTGGAGTGTCCTGTGCTTTTCACCAGAGCTGTCGTGGGGGCAGGACTCTCAGCAGCCCCCCTCAGGCCGGGCAGCCAGCCTGGCTGTTCCATGCATTCCTTGTTCCACACAGGCTGCCACAGGGACCTTGGCCGCTGTCCTCTGTTCTCTGTAGCTTAGTCCAGCTGTGTCCTCTCTTGTCCTGGGCCACCAGCGGTCCCTTAAGACAGCCATGCTGGTTTCTTGAGAGATGCTCTCTTCCTTCTCTTGTGCTCACATGGTCCAAATCATGCTGAGGGCACTTGGGGCGGCCCCTGCCCCCAACCCCCAGGAGCCCTGGTCCTTTTCTCCCAGACTCTTTCGGTTGGAAGGAACCTCAGGAACGGTCATCTGGTCCACTCCCTTGACCCTGCAGCTGGAAGAGCTGGGCTGGGAGAAGGGAGGGAGCAGGGGCACCATGTCAGTTCCTCGTCCTCTTCCTCTGGTGAATGGCCTCCAGGTCAGAGGGACATGACTTGTCTTAGGAAACTTTGCCAGCCCCTGGAGGGCATTTCTTCCCATTTGGGGGCCTCCCAACCTCCCAAGTCCAGCCACGGCTCTGTCCCCACTGTGCACTAGTGGCTCCTTATGAGGAGCTGGTACAGAGACACCCCCCCTCCTGTCCCATGGATGGCCACAGCCAAGGGAACCTTAGAGAGCCCCGTGGGCCAGAGACACCCCATCAGTCGTGATTAGGAACTTGCCGTATGCTACAGCTCACTGCCCCCAGTTCCCTCAGGCGCCCCCAGACACTGATGCCTGCTCCGCCCAGCCCTGGACTGGGTGTGGAGACACAGATGAACAAGATGTGGGGCCCACCCTTGAGGGGCTTTCTTCTAGAAGGAGAGCCATTCACACTCAGGCCTAGCCCTGTCCAAACATTAGTGGGATCCATTTCTCCGGTGAGGAACCTGAGGCTCAGAGAAAGGAAGCAAATGTTCAGGGCGACCCAGCAGAAGCACGCAGAGGCTCGCAGGCTCGCTGGAATCTGGGGTGAGCTGCCATGAACAGGCTCTTCCTGCTTCATGTGGGGGGAAGTGCAGCCTTGACTTGGGGGGGGCAGAGTGAGTAGTCAGGGGCACTCCCCCCCCCCATCATCAGTGGTGGCTGGGATGGGAAGCCCAAGAGCAGAGGGAGGTAAAGGTCTGGCCCCAAGGAAGAGGCAGGAAGCGTGAGGTGGGCAGGGGGAGTGTCAGGATAAAACCAAGTCCGAATTCGTTTCCCTGCTGGGGAAGGTGAGGCTCAGAGGGAGGAACGAATCGGGCCCCAACTGACACCGCAAATGAGGCAGAAGAGAGACAAGACGGTGGGGTCCTGCCCCCAGCCAGAGCCTCATCTGCCTGCCCCGCGGAGCCTCCCGGAGGGGGCCACACAGACGCGGGCCACTATGGTTCCAAAGATCAGACCACAGAGCCGCAGGAGAAGCGGTCCCTGCAAGCGGGCTGGGCATGTAGTGGGCCTCCCGGGAGGGGGAGGGGAGGAGCCCACTGCCTCTGGACAAGCAGGGCCAGGGCCCCATCGCAGGGTCCGGGTAGCCTCTTCTCCCTTAGGGGGCTCAGCTGCCGCTTAGCAGTGAGGCTGCCGCACCCACCCACGTGGAGCCAGGGCCCCTCGCGCTCCGCGCACGCGCACGGGGAGCCTGGAGGAAGGAGAAGTGGCTGACCCCTGCCTGGCCAGAGCTCTGGGCGCCACCTGGGCTGAGGACTTCACCTCCTGTCCGGGGAACCTGCAGCTCTGGGGCTCCCTCCGCCCTGGGTGGGGAGAGGATCCGCACACACACGCGCGCGCACAGACACACACTCACACCCGGACGCGCACGGAGGCTCACAGACCCACACTCCGGGTGCACGAGGCCTGAGGGCTGGGGGAGCAGGAAAGACCCTCCAACATTTGGCCCTTGGAAGGTGCAGTTTGCAATGAGCCTGTCTGCTGGTGCCCCCAGCCCAGCTGGGCGTGGGGACCGGCCGCCGGCCATTCCTCTGTTTTCCTTGTACAGACTCACTGCCCACCCGCCATCCCCAGACACATTTTATTTAATAACTTGTCATTGTTAAATTATTTATTAGCGTTTACCACATCACCACCCCCACCCTGCCCTCCACGCTCACCTTCTGCCTCTTCCCACAAAAGCAGAAAATGGAAACAACAAAAGACGAGACATCAGTATATTTGTAAATAAACCAACCTGTACACGCCTGTGCCGCCTCTCCTTGGGGGGAGGGGAGGGGTGGGGCGGGGCCGGGCCCTCCAGAGCGTGAGGGATTTCTCCAGGGGCACCAGGGACAGCAGATCAAGGAGGAGGGAGGCCTCGGGGCCCTGTTCTCGCCCTGACCCATTCCTTGTCCCATCCCATAATCATCATCTCCCTAATCCTGGGCCTGTCCCAACCCTGAATCACCTCCATGCTTAAACGCTTCCATCCCATCCCACTCTCTCCCATTCTGCAGCACTCTTCATTTATTCATTCATTCATTCATTCACCCAACCGACGTGAAGGGTCCTTTAAGTGCCAGCTACCAGTCTGAGAACCAGGGATCAGTAGTCTGTGCCTCAAGGAGGTAGGTTGTGACATACGCTCAGTTGAGGGATGGAGAGGCCTTGTTACAGTATACTCAACCTCACCTGGAGGTGCGAAGCATCATGGAAGGCTTCCTGGAAGAAGCTACACATTAAGCTGCAAGCAGAAGTTAGCCAGAGTGGAGGAGACTAGGTGGGGAGTCTGCCAGTGCTTTGGGCTTGTGCAAAATCTCGGGGTCAGGCAAAATCTTGTAAATCTCCTAAACTAGAAGAATAGCTAAGTTTGCGGGGGTGGGGGGAGCGGGGGGAATGAGAAATGATGAGACTGGAGGCAGGGCCAGACCACCCAGGGTCTTGATGACGAGTGGAGAATAGATCCGATTGGGTTGGGAGGACTGGATAGAGGCACGGAGGTTGGTTGGGTCACCTAGGTGACAGGTGACGATGGTTTTGACTAGGGGGGAGAACAGTG